GCCTCACCCCAACGTCAATAGTCTTACGAATAGGCCTAACTATAGTGTGACAAACTATATCAACTGCTTTACAAAAGTTCATAGTGCAAATAATAATATGTAGGTCTAGTTACCAGGTATTATATTAAGATAGAGTTTGGTGAAACAAGACAATCAAGTAATGAGTAGTTGAGGACCCCTTTACATTACCAAATATCTCTTCATTTTTTCATGGGGACAATACACGCTGTCTCTTATACACATCTAGATGGGTATAAGAGACAGGTTTACATTGTTGAGATTGAGACTGTTCCTCATCATAAACAGTGGCGTAACGCCTATGCGCTCTCATGCGGCGGTCCGCAGGGCCCCCGATTTCTAGGGGCACCGAAGGGGCCCTACCCATAGGTTCCTCGATCTAGCACCCTGACCAAAAAGGACTTTGTTGATAAATAAAACCATAATGTGTCTCTGAAATTGACTGTAGGGCACATATCATATTATAATAATTAAAGGAAGGTCCCTTCGCCCCGACGGGACCTACTCTCGGCCCGGGACCCCACCAAATTTGCTTTAAAAAAATAAATAAATAAAAATGGAGATACAAAAAAATATATATTCACAATTTGAAGTCTGTGATTGCCATTTCTGGCCATCAAGACTTGCCATAATACATTTTCTAATCTCAGCCCCACAAGGGCAACGGCATAATGTGTGTCTGACAGTGGTGTGACGATGGGGCCGGGGCCCTGTGTATTTCTGAAACTGGGGGCCCTTTTTGGGTCCCGGTCACCAATACCATCGTGGGATTTTAGGTGTGCATTGTTATTTTAATTTTTTTTTAACGACGAATAAATGATATAATATGCGTTCAGAAAATTGAGGCCATGGAGGGACTTTCACAATCGGAGATTCTATACCACCTCAGACCCACCATGGTTGGGACTGAGGTAAGAAAATTTATGAATATGGCACCTTTAGATGGCCGGAAATGCCACTTGCAAGGCGTCGATCCGTGGTTAAAAGTGTTGGGGGGGGGGGAACGAAATGTAAAATAAACGCCACTGATCATAAATACATGTTTAGAGATTGATAATAAGTTAAACTGGAGGAAAAAGTTTGTGATAAAATAGATAAGAAGGGTAGCATGATGCGTCTGTCACACACAGAGCCAAGATATTGTCCTGGATTGCACCATGTGTGGGCCCGAACCTTACGACTACCATATAGATAATTTTCATTACATGCTGTCATTTTAATACCTTATTTCATGATATTCGATCATTCCACTTAGGATTTATTGGTGAAAAGGGAGGTATAGTACTCCCCTGGCTTTATAACCTCTCAACCCAAGCCAATGGCTTCATCAGCACATTATAAGCGGTCTTTTGTTTGAAGTTATGTTTGAAGTTAGTATGGTTTGGCAATTTAAGTTAAAACGATTGCAACAGAATATAACGTATCATAAGTCAGTCTGAAAAAAATCTACGACAAAATAGACAACTAGATGATATCTGTGAGATTCTACTTATTGATAAAGTGTATCTTAACAAATAGTTCCCACCCACTAAAGTCATCTTTTACTTGGCTACCTATGGGCAAAAGGTTAAAAACACAAACCTGTGGAACAAATTCATACCACTTTACCAGAATCCTTAATCAAAATGTCAAATACGTTTTAGGGCCTTTTATTGTTGTTGTTGTTTTGTATTAATCATGAACTCTGTTTTGCTATGTGATGTACCAACTGGTCTTCCAAAAGGACACAAATAAAAACCTTGAATCTTGAATCATTAATCAGTAGGAGAAAGAGCATAGGGCCTAGTTTCGTTCCTAGAGGAACACCACATGAAATATAAACGGTTGAGAAGAAGGTTTTATTATAGTTGGCATTCAGTGTTCTATTAGTCAGAAAGTTGCGCTCGATAGCAATAATGGATCGCCTCACCCCAACGTCAATAGTCTTACGAATAGGCCTAACTATAGTGTGACAAACTATATCAACTGCTTTACAAAAGTTCATAGTGCAAATAATAATATGTAGGTCTAGTTACCAGGTATTATATTAAGATAGAGTTTGGTGAAACAAGACAATCAAGTAATGAGTAGTTGAGGACCCCTTTACATTACCAAATATCTCTTCATTTTTTCATGGGGACAATACACGTGGGAAATTTATACAGAGGAGAATTATGATGTGAGCGGTTGCATGCACTCTCAGAGTACGCGCAGTGTTGAGAATAGTTAGCTTTTGATTGCACGAGGACGGTAGAACGTAATGACGTCACTAAAAACTCATCTGCGTATCTAGGACTCAATTTGGCCAAATCTACGTATGCAACGTAGGACCCCGGTAGGATGGTCACGCATGAATGATTCTGTTCTAGCATCTCGTCGTCGCCTAAATCGAAAACTCCCTACTGTGCCTGCACAAATCTGCACCCTGTATGCACATGTACAATCAATGATACTAGAAATACAAGACATGTCAGAGCACTCGCATAGCAAAAATAAGGCATAAATTTGTCCAGACGTACGCGACGCCCTTCTCTGTTATTAATGCAAGTTTTCTATACTTGGTCCAAACGTACAGGGTGCCATTCTGTTGCTAGGTGTAACCAGACGCACGCGGCGCCCTTCTTTTTCCACTAATCAGAGTCCGGCCATACGAATCTGCGTTTTCGTGTCATTTTATTGTTTTGATTTATTTATACCTAATTGTTTGTATCTTATGGATAACGGCAACGATTTCAACCTCCGCAAAAGGAAGTTATGTATTCACAGTTATATAACGGTGGCAGACGTTTTTTTAGATCCAGCCGTACGCGGCGCCCCATTGTTTGTATTTCCACCATGCATTTCGGTTGAACAGGTTTTTTTGTGTTTCTAGTATCTTCGGTACAACGTACGTAATTCACAATTGCTTGTGGATCATAATACCTGCATTGGTGATGCTTCCAAAAGCAAATGATGCTGTTTCATTATACTCTGCAGTTGTGTTGTGACTTTGAAAATGTGGAAGATCTTTGGACAAACATCCATAACTTTCACCTGGAATTATTAAAAAAGCAACATATCAGATATGCTTTTAATAATACAACGAAACTTACATTTTAAAAAAAACTTCCAAATTAACATATAATTGTTTCCCTGGTTTTATAAATAAAACCATAGATATAATAAATATACAGTTTAAATACTTAAATATTATTACTTAAACATAGTTATCTACAATATAGATCATTGAGGTCTGGCATGAGGTTAAAAAAGGGTGCTGTGAAATATTATCTAAATTGACTGGTTTTTAGGAAGGTAGATACGGAATACAGAACATTTTTAGCACTACTGTGTGCCCGTCTTTCGGACAGAATTTGAAGAAAATCTGAACCAGAGGCATAGTAGACCCTTCCATTAGGTTTTTATTATCATGCAGAAATTTAATTATTTAAATCTAAAATTAGATTCAAGGAACGAATCGGGCTAGGAAATTAAATTGTTCCGAAGTTTTGTTAGAACACCCCTGTTTTTGACCTGTTGATTGATCTTTTTTATTGTAACAAGGTTGCACTTTACAAACATCTCAGCCCATATGGAGGGTAAGTATTGGGGACTAGTCATTTAAAAATAAGTACTGTGTCTTCTGACGTGGATCGTGAATTTAAATTGTGTCTCTGTTATTTAATTAGTATCTGTTTATCGAAGTCGATGGTGTACGACTGCCGCCGAACCCTGACGCTCTTTATAGGCCTAATTTAGTCCTAACATACGGAGATGGGTTGTACCCTCAGATATTTTAATTTTATTATATAAAACTTCAATTCAACCAATACGTACAGCTTAAAAGTGTGGGGTAGCACATATGAAACATATTTACAACCATTTCTTGTTACCCAACAAATGTGTGTGCGATGTATTACTTTTTCTAATTTTAAAGCTGCATCTTCCCTGTTATTTAAGCAGTTATATATTTTAGATGCTTATAAACTTTATGAACTATTTATGTACTTAATTTTGTTTATGATTTATGTTATAGAAATTTACCGCATCAGCTTAATTAATATTTTAACACAGTTGAGCATTTAAGAAATACCTGGTCAAAACAAGTTCAGAATCTTGCTATACCAAAGCCCGTACTGTGGCTGGTAGATAATTTCTTATACCGGATCAAAATAGTGGAATAATGAGCCATTAAATATAAACAAATTATCCAAAACAAATTCAAAATATTAAACCTGGCACATCCTAATTTGTTCCCATTTATATGCAATAATGTCAGTATTATTACGCTACTTGTAGTAGTAGTTGTTGTTATTATTATTGTTATTATTATCATCATCGTCACCATCATCATCATCATCATCATCATCATCATCTTCATTATCATTAACATTATCAATATTATCAAGCAACTATACCAACGGACATTTCGCTATCAATAAATTATTTTCCACTCTACCCTGACCAACATACGCCATAACCAATATGGTGTATGTACATCACAGATACAGATACAGATAAGGTCAGACGGGCGCCTTTGGAGCACCATTGAGGAAATATATTCTATGCAGCAATTATAATTTTGTTTTCACTAACTTTGTCAATGTGTCAATTTGACAAGAACTAATAAGTTGGATTGGTCACAAAAAAACTTACCGTATGATCCAACACTCATAGAGCAAACACTCATGATTGGTTCGGTCTCAGATTCAGTCATGACATCTAAACGAATATCTGAAGCATACTCTCTGATGATCATATCAACTAGAAACAATGCTGATGTGTCCTGGTAGATTTCTGTTGGTCCAGAGATGATAACTGATGGACTAGGAGATGTCTAAATTGTAAGATATTGTTAGAAATTTAATATTTAAAAAAATGGTTTTCTCAATTTGTTTTCTTATAAACATTTATTAAACATATCAGGTGGATGGTACAACCTGGTCCTCTTATACAAAACGATGAAAATCATACAATATATCTAAAATTAACAAGTCAACAAAAAAATAATTGTAAAAAGACAACTATAAATATAATTAAAAAAATATAATAAAAAAAAACATACAATGCACAATACATTAAACTATTTTAAAATTCATTGTAAATAACAAAAAAAGAAGGAAAGGTAATAAAATAAATGGAAAATGCCTTAAATCTTAGAAAAAAGTAGTTTACAGAGATAAAGTAAAAAAGAAGAGTAAAATTATTTTTTAAATTGTAAGCAATATATTTATAACATTATATACAAATGTTAAGAACGATCGCTTAATTATATTGTATTACGGTAATTATAAATGTTACTTTGATAATATAATTTAAATAATTATTTGATTCTTTTTATTCCCAATGCAGAGTGTATTCCATACATGCGCACCAGAATATTTGAGTGAAGTCTTCATTATTTAAATTTATTGTTTGGGTAGAACGTTCAGTGAATTTGCATTACACCCACGTTGGTCAAATACCATTTCGGGAGGTGCAATACCATTTAAACAAGTTTTATACTATAATTTCGTCTTTTTTCAAAAGGCTTTTATACTTTGTACTTGGTTGGTTATCCTCCTAATATCCCAGTGAGGGATTTAAACAAGAGGCGTGGAGAGAGTGGTCGGTCTAAAATTATTTTTCGTTGCTTTGCTGTGAAAGTGCAGATTTGAAGGGATCGGGGTTTATATTGCAATCAATAATATCGGGCAGGAGATTCCAGTCATTAATAGTTTATAAAAAAACAAATTGAGAAAACCATTGTTTGGATAAACATCGGTCCTTGTCTGAGGGATTTGGAATTGTTGGTTGTGTCCTCGTTTGGGTCTGGTTTTGGTGTAATATAGTCGTGGTGGCTTATGTCCATTGAGGATTTTGTAAAAGCATGAACAACGGTGTTGTTTTCTTCTCTCTTGTAGAGGGGTCCAGCCCAGAATTAATATTGAGGAGATAGATGTAGCACGTCCGTAGGTATTGCTGACAAACCTAGCAGCTCGCCTCTGGATTTTTTCGAGGTGTTCAGTGTTTTTCTGGGTGTATGGGTCCCAAGCAGCTGTGGCGTATTCAAGGTGAGAGCGTACAAGAGTCAGGTAGAGGTTTTTTATGGCTGCGGATGAGTGGTGGAAATTTCTGCTAATGAATTAAAAAATATTGGTAGCTTTTTTTTGGCTGCGTGGTCAGATTGCTTATTCCATCGGAGGTCTTTATGAAGGATTATACCCAAATATTGGCATTGATCGGTTTTATTTAGTTCGACTACCATCCTGCTGTAGGATGTGGTTTCTGGAGGCCTACTCCTGGTAACGCTCAACGTTTGACATTTCGCAGGGTTAAATCTCATACCCCAGGTATCTGCCCACTTCACCATAGTATTTAGGTCACCTTGGAGTTTGGTAACATCTTGGGGGTTCGAAATTGTCTATAAATAATTTATATAAAGAAGGAAGAGGTGTGGACCAAGTACCGTTCCTTGTGGAGTGCCACTGAGAACAGGGGTCCAATTTGATGTCTTACCATTTACAGCAACGCGTTGGAACATATTCCTCAAAAAGGAGTTTATTCTTATCCAGCCACTAATTAAGTGCCGGATACCATAGTAGTTCAGCTTTACAGGAAGGCGGTCGTGGGGGATCACATCGAAAGTTTTAGTGAAATCTAAAATTGCTCTGTCAGTTTTAAATCCATCATTTAAATTTTTGCTAGGTCGTTAGTGGTCAAAATAAGTTGGGTCTTGCTTTACGAAAGGCATGCTGCTTGTCAGATAATATGTTGTATTCTGTGAGATGGTCCATAAGGTTGCTATCAGTAATATGTTCAAGAATTTTGCAACAGATACAGGTGAGTGAAATGGGTCTTTAGTTTGCGGGGTCGGAAGTAGAGCCTTTTTTTAAATATAGGTGCGATATTCGCCTTTTTCCAGTCTAGGGGTAAATTACCAGTATCTAGTGATTGTTGGAAAATATGCTGAAGAATGGGAGAAAATTCATCTGCAGCCATCTTCAATGCCTGGTTTGGTATCATGTCAGGTCCAATTTGTTTGGACACATTTAGGTTCTGTAGGAGTTTCTCTACACCCTCAGTGTTGATGGTGATAGGTGGCACATCTGGATATAGGGTAGGTGGCATACTTGGTAACCTAATTGGATTAGAATGGTCTTGGGTAAATACACTCTTAAACTGATTTGAGAGGATCTGGGCTTTTTCTTGGTCATTTTTTATGACAATTTTTAAATTAATTCTACTCCGTGTATTGTATGATAAACAAAGTTATTTGTACTATGCATTCTGTTCCTTTTTTGCAATCATGAAAAAAATTTAAAAAATGAATATATTGTGGTAACCTTTTATCAATAAATGATAACACCAGGTCATTACTAACTACAGACGCTCGCACTATTAATGATTTTCAAAAAAACTTGAACTGCTAAGTAGACATAGTTCGTATTCACCACTGTCTTCAGTTAGCAAGATTACGCAAAAACTAAATAAAGAAGGGATTATCATAATATTAGAAAGAAAACAGCATACAGAACAATACAGCGTATTGTTCGGTATTCAGACACATGATAGAAAATAATAGAATATCATAATAGGCCTACATGGTCTGCGTATTGCTTGGTATGCCCAGGGCGGAAGTATGCACTCTATAGAGTGACTGCTCTAATTTGGTCATGCAGCTGAGTGAGTGTATTGACTTGTAACTTTACCATTTAACACATATACCTACGTTGAATTATATTAGAAAAATATTTCAAAAATATGTATTACCCAGTCATCACGATCCAAGGTAGCAGTAAATGCCACTTGTCCAATCCAAACTTCAGTATTATAAGCTACACCAGTTGAAATTGTGTAACTTTCTTGATCTTGTGTCGCGTTGTTATCCACCATAACCACAGAAAAATCAATTACGATTTTGCTTTGATCAGCATCGTTTGCATCAGTCCCGATATTCGATACAGATCCAAAATCAATAACAGCACGATCCCACTGAATGAAAATTATCATCTAACATTTATGCATTGGAAATAATTTTAAAATCTATAATAAGCCTAGCTATCATTATTGGCCCTATGTCATTAATAAATGTCTTAAAAATATGACAAAAACTTACGTGGGAAGAAAGAAAGTCATCCAATTAAGGCGAGACTTTCATGTTGTAGCGAACTTACTGTGTTAGAGAAGGGCGGAAAAAATAAATAAAATTTTGTTTCTTATTTAGCAGAATAGTTTTGCCCAAAGCATTTATGCTGAAGATAAAATAAATAAAAAATATTTATGAATGTCAACAATGTAGTACTGGAATCGATAAATGCTTTAAATTTATAATTAAATATAGATACTTTAATTGGGAAGTGTCAATGTTTTTGTTTTTTCTTGAAATTTTCATACTTTTGAGCGAAGAGCATGAAACTGGCCATTTTTTTTAAATTCGGAATCCTGATTATTGTTGGAAGGCGGATTTTCGCAGAACGGAAAAGAAAACAAGTCTTGGCTAACCAGTACAGATTAATATTATATATTTTTTTATTACATTTATTTTACATTATATTAATATTTTAATTCTTGATGTATTTTATTGTTATTAGGTTAACTTCTTGTTGCTTTGATGTGGTTTTTTTGGAGTTTTTTTTTTTTTTTTGTTTTTTTTTTTTAAGGGATGAATTAAAAGATGATCTTTTGCAACGTACAGTGCTCGATACACGTTATAATGCAGAGCGTAAATATTGAAAATGTAGAACTTGTAGAACTGGGTATAATCACTCTACAGACTGTTTCATGCAAATTCAATCTTAAAAACAATTAACTCATTTGCATTTTCACCTGCCTTATTCATATACTCACACAATCCTTGTATTCTCTCACTCCTGAAGATTGCATTAGATTAATGCATTTAATGTGAGTATACGTGTTGTTTTGCCCTACATGACGTTACCGAATGCTCAAAATGTTTGCAAGTGATTCTGATGTGAATTGAACCCACGACCTGCATATATGGCGCCATGCTAGCTATCTGGAGGTCGTGGGTGCGATTTTTTCCCAAGTATTTGGGAACATACTGAGTATTCGGTAGATGATACATCAGGTAGGACAAAGCATCACTCCTATAATAAATAATTTCAAATATTATATGATAACTGACCTTTTTTAAAGTTAAATTGTTACAGCCCCTCTGATAGTGATTCTTTATAAATGTTGTACATAGTCATTGGTATAACTTACTGTATATAAGGCTATCTGTATATATAGGCCTATACAATTTTATTTAAAGAATTTTAAAGAAAATACGTAATCAAACGAAACATCTTAACTTACTAAAAAATTTTTTTTTCACAAATAAATTACTTAGATTACTTGTTTGTAAAAAAAAAAATATTCGATAGTAATATCTAAACAATGTTGAATTAACATAGCCATTGGTCAACCTATATTGTCTAACATGAAACAAGAAATGTGTGTGCCTGTAACAAAAAATTAATTAATGGCTGTAACTAAAATCTTATGTAACACCAGTTTTACTATTATTTGTAATTAACAGTATAAATAAAAGGGAGTTCAATGTGTATTGTTAAATGTTGTAACTTTGAAGACTTACAGACAGCCAGAAGACTGCATATGAGTGTATTACAATAATTGTTTAAAAAATTAAAAACAGAACACAAAAATTCAAGAAATTCACAACACAAACATAAAAAGAAACAATGTATAAAAAGCACAGCACCAACTTAAAACCAAACTAAAATGATAAAAATGGAAGAAATAAAAAAGGCATAGATAAACAAAATTAATGAAAAATTGAATGGAATTTTCTTACTGTAACAAAAAAAAATCAGCTCACGGGGCCTGAAAAGGTGGGTTTAGAATTCTTTTTAGTTATTTTTTTTTTCTTTGCCCAAGAGAGGGGTGGGGGGGGGGTCAGGACTCCTGATCCCCAAGATCTGCCAATGTGAATTGCAAGAAATTCTAACTTCTAACTCGGTCGGGGACTGGATAAACACTCTCTTTCCCCTCCCTCTTCTCCTTCTTGCCTCTTTCTTTTCTTGCATTTTTTCCGATCATACAAAAATCTCCATAGACATTATATATTTTCTGCCAAAAAGTGGGGGGGGGGACCCGAGTTGACTTGGGGTCGAGTTGACATGGGGCCGAGTTGACTTGGGGCCGAGATGACATGGGGCCGAGTTGACTTGAGGCCGAGTTGACTTGAGGCCGAGTTGACCTGCTTCCCAACTCTCCTGCACATATAAAAACAGAGTTACTGAGTTTTCCTGAATTTTACCAAAACCGACTTTGTTTTGTAAAATTAAGTATATTTTTATGCACCTAAGTATAAGAATTAAAAAAATAAATGTACTAATGTCAATTTAGCTCATTTGCCAGGATTCAATGCCAGGATTCAAAGTCTCTAACGCCAACATAATGTCAATGGCTGCCGAATGTCAGAAATCAGACGGCTACAAGCACCAGTACCAGTAGTAATGAATTAAAACATTTTACGGCCTTTAAAATAAGAAATTGTAAAAAGAATGTTTTGCCCTAAAAACGGGGTTTTTTTACTAATAAATATTTTCATGTTCATTTTTGAGAAAATGTTTCATTACAGCTAATAGAAATATATGTTTTCTGAGTAATATGAGACCAAATTCAACTCTCTTGTACAAATATTACCGGGTTTTCCGGATTTTTTTCAAAATTTACCAAAACAAGAGTTAAACTAATTATATATTTATGCCTAACATATTAATTAGAATTAATTTTTAAATATTTATAATTTATCATTATTGTCACTTTAGTTATCATTTGTCACCATTGAATAAGTGAAAACATTCGTTGGTTCTGAAAACAAGAAAATTATTTTAAAAACAGTTTTTTTGGCCAAAAATGTGTGTTTTTGTTAATAACTTTTTTCCTGGTATTTTGTTGGGGAAATGTTCTATTATAGCGAATAGAAACAACATGAGCCTTCCGAACAGTTTGGTACCAAAATGAACTCTGTATGACTAATAGTAACCGGAATACAGATTTTTTGTTTTCCCAAATTGATAATTTTGCATAAAATCGGCCATTTTGACCCTTAAATGAAAGAATTTCTCGCTTGGGATTCACCAAATTCATAACCAGCAAGGTCAAAATACCCAAAATCAACTGGATCCCAGCTTCTACCTAATAATGCCTATTGCATCATCATTTCTGGAATAAATAACATGAAATGGCTAAGTAAAATGTATTTTATGTGGTATACATTTGTGGTCCGTTCTAAGATTACCATAAGTATAAAACGAATTGTTAAGGAAAGATCAATTTTTAAATAAACCTGTAATTAAAAATAGGATATCAACAAAATGATTATTATTCACTTTGTGATTGAAATGTGTTTTTATATGTAAAATAACAATCAATTTCTCTTTCCAGCAATATTTTCTTTTGTCGATAGAATTCATACTAATATTTTATCGTAGTAAAAAGTTCTTATATAGGTACCTTTTTGAATCGATGGTTTTATATAATATTATTTATTTTCTGATTTTAAATTAAACTACTTATGTTTTGGGGTTAAAATTTAGGTTTAACATGGAATTTTCATAAGTACTACAATAACAAATACAAAAAATCTTTATTTCTCTATAAAAGCTATATAAATAAAATTAACGGACAAAATATTGAAACAGGGAAACAAGAGAAAAAAGAGAATGCTCATGAAGCCCTTATGGGCTTGATAAAAATAGAGAGGAAAATGTATGCAATAAAACATGAATTTAAATTAATAAAATATAAATCACAAGAATGAAAAATGTATACTATAAACAATGAAACAAGAACACACACTTAAACTAACCTAACATCAATAGTAATATAAATGCAAAAAAAATAAAAATTGATTAATTCTTCCATAATATAGGATCAGTGCAAGAGAAATGGAGACTGGTGCATGGAAGTGTATAGGAGTCTTATGACAATTGTTCGTTTCTGATACTATATTCATGGCAACGTCCATCAGTAAGGTTTCTAAACCTAGATATTTTATTTATTAATATCAGTAAATTAGTAAAAAAGGTGATGTATAAGCATCAAAAGTTCACCAAGAACTTTTACTTATATTGTATATTTATTTTTATGTAGTTTATTTATATAACGAATAAAGAAACTGAATTAAATTAAATTGATCTGAAATCATCATATAAAGTATTTATACAACCCTAATTGAATCCTTGTAAATAGACTGGTTGATTTCTTTATTTATTTCACCTAATGCATTCAATATTTCTTATTTATTATTATCAATAATAATAATTTTTCAAACAATACTGTAACATTTTCAAATTTTGTGTTGCAAACTCTCAGGTTGCCCATAGTGACAATAGCAAATGAAATTTTTTTTTTGTCTAATTACTACTCACTAACCCCATACCCAAATGAAAATTTCAAACAGATCATTTGTATCACTTCTGTTTCCATAAAATATATACACAGTTAAATAAATTTATAACGTTACAAAAAGGTTACATTGCAACACTGCATTTTTCTCAACCTTGCTTATGGGAACCCTCTATTTTATACAATTTTAATTTAATTAGTGTCTACGAAAATATTTTTCATGAACTTACTCTCTTATCACCTGCATGTGCATCCAAAACCACACTTGTGGAAATCCCTGAACCAAAGTTAGAACCAATGTGGGTGACAACTGGATCACATATAGTCAATATGGCAGATGACTCATATGGAGTAAGAAGCTCAACGTGCATGTCATACGTTTGCTGTGGTAGCCAGATTGAAAGCTTCATCGGAACTTTATTGCCAATTTTCAAAATCGTTACACCGGTAAACGAATCAAGTTTCTCTAGTAAGAACGTTGGTTCACTTGGCATACTACTTGGCTACAATCATAAATAAAATTAGAAACTAGATTTTATACAAAATATAATGATATCTTTCAGTTATATGTATAATACTTATAACTACAACAGTGACGTATCAGAATTGGACATATTATATTTTATAGTTAAAAAATATATAACAATTTCTTCTCTTGTGAGATTTTTTAAACATAAGTTTAGGTGTTTAAGAAAACTGAAAAATCATTTTTGAAATTAACTTGCTCTTTTTCAAGTAAAATAACATAACATGAACGAAAAATTATAGAAAAATTCCTAGTCACTGGAAGTGTTTTATCATTTATTTTATTATTACAAAGTATAAAAAACAGAATACACATTTTCTAATTCAATAACTTCTATGCTTAATGTTAATAATTTGTATGTTACTGCAACTTTCTTGTCATTTTCAGGAGACAATACATCTGTAACTTAAAATCATTGATTGATTAAAGTTTGAGTTTTAAACCAGTTGATGTTTTGCATCAACAAGACTTGATCACAAACAATGATGAGTAGATGTTGATATGCCATTAGGAGGGTATACCTAGCGAGTGAAACCACTTGGACCAGCATGTTACAGACTCACTAAAATTAACAGGCCTTATTGATGCAATAGGCAAAACGCTTAGCTAAATATACATTCAACCTCTACAAGCATATTAGGCCTACCTTAATTAAGCCAAAAAAAATTGTGTTGCCCTCTCCGCCGACCGAAATGTTCCAAAAATTCGGATCGGCGCTTTTTGTTTTCGGGGTTTAAAAAAATATATATATTCAAACAGGGCCGGCGGAACGTTTTTCAAAGTGGGGGGCCCCACTTATAAGCAGGCGCGTAACAGGGGCCTTGGGTCGGGGGGGGGGCGTCAAAGGTAATAATTTTCCCGGTTAGTAATTTATGACTTGGTGTGATACCCTCCCCCAACCACCCCATATAGAAAACAATACGACATAGGGCTTATTTTATTATCAATATAGGCCACACACGTGTGTTTGAAACTAAATATAAGCATTTTCATCGTGGTTTTATTTATTACAATCATAAGCCTATACATTCACCCTCATAACACATTGAGGCCCTTCTTTTAGGTAAAATGATCAATCTGAAATTTTCTTTTTCAAGTTTTGGACTATTATGTTTTAAAATAACTTGGAAGGCAAAGGAGGGCAAGCACAAGCTTTAACCCTAACAAATGCGCGATTTTTTTTGTTTTTTTTTAATTCTAATTCAAAACTCCCTAAAATGTGCAATTTTCAGCGAAAATTGGCCTACCTCAACAAGAAATGCTCTTATGTTATATATGGACACACTGGTTTTTTTAAACTGAATATAAGCATTTTCCTTATGGCTTTATTTATTACAAACATATTCTTTCAACATCATTACACATTGAGGCCCTTCTTTTAGGTAAAACGATCTATCTTAAATTTTCTTTCTTGAGTTTGGGATTATGTGTTATAACTTAGAAGGCCAAGGAGAGCAAGCAGAAGTTTTACCATTAAAAATATGCGCGCGAAGCGCGGGAAAATTTTTGTTTTTTTAATTCTAATTTCGTCGGAATTGATCATAACTCCCTAAAATGTGCAATTTTTTTAGAGGAAATTGGCCTACCTCAACAAAATATGCGATTTAAAATTTGAGATTTTCAGGCACTTTCCCGGGTGAAAAGGGCATTCAATGGGGAAAGATTTTCCACAGATGGATATTTTCCCCTTGTCCCCCGGTGGTTACGCCACTGCGGAGAATACCTGGCGGCTTAGATCAAATCGATATGGACACCTTTTGAAGTGGAGAAGGGGTTGCAGGCCGGGGTATTGTGATATCTGTTCATTATATCTTCCTTTTTATTCTTGTCTTTATTTTTCTCTTCTCTTTTTCTTTTCCTTTTTCCTCTCTTTTTCTCCTTCTTTATCTTTTCCTCCCTCTCCCCTCTTTCTTTTCTCTTCTTACCCAGCCCGTACGACGGCTTGGTCGGCCCGGTAAAAACCGTCAGGGGGGACAGTCTGCCCCCTGGCCCACCCCCCGCCTGTTACGCCACTACTTATAAGATGAATGGGAATATGAATCATGCAGATCTGGAATCAAATCTATGTGGTGCGGACAACATTCCCCTCCCGGGAAAATTTTGATTTCTAGATGGCGGGAAATGACCTTTCTCGACTTTTGAGCTAGGTGTCTAATGACTTTTTTCTTCAAAATTCAAGGTTTCCCCCTCATGAAAACGGTAAGGTAAACTTTCTCATTATGGTAAATAGGCCTGTTATGTGTGTATACATACATTTAAAAAAAATTGAGTAGTTGCATACGATTTTTTCCATGAGATGAATCCCAAAAAGAGAGGAGGGTCCGGGGGTTCTTCCCCATGAAAATTTTAAATCCTAGAAGGCGGGAAATGAGCTTTCCCGACTTCTGAGGTGTCTTTTAAATTCATTATGTCATTAAAAAATACTTCAGAAGTCGGGAAATCTCATTGTCCACCATTTAGAAATCAACATTTTCCCAGGAAGAACTCGAACCTCCCTTTCTATGGGTTCATTGATTCATTATAAAATTTTCAAGAGGGGAACACCTTGAATTTTGAAGTTCTTCAAAATTCAAGGTTTTCCACTTTTGAAAACGGTCAAATAATTTTTCCCATTGTTATTACAGTAATTAGGCCTTATGTGTGTATACATACACAAAAGAGATTGAATAAGTTGTATACGTAGTTTTTCCATGAATCGATAAATCCCAAAAGGAAAGGTGGGGGAGGTCCTGTGGTTCTTCCCCGGGAAAATTTTGATTCCTAGGTGGCGGGAAATGAGCTTTCCTGACATCTGTGGTGTCTTTTAATGACTTTTAAATTCTTCAAAATTCAAGGTCCCCCCACCTTGAAAATGATTCAATTAATCAATGAACTCCAAAGATAAAGGGGGTCCGGGTTCCCCTGGAAAAATTTCGATTTCTAGATGGCGGGAGATGAGCTTACCTGACTTCTAAAACGTCTTTTAATGACTTTAAAAGCTCTTCAAAATTCAAGGTTTTCCCCTCTTGAAATAGGTCAGGTAAATTTTTCTCATTTTTTATTTTATGTGTGTATACATACAAAACAAATGAGTAGTTGCATGTGTTGTAAGAAATCAGCTCACGGGTCCTGAAAAGGTAGGTCTAGAATTCTTTTCTTTTTGCCCTTTTTGTTGCCCAAGGGAGGGGTAAGGACCATTGACCCCCCTCCCCCAGATCCGCCAATATGAATTGCAAGAAAGTGTAACTCGGTCGGGTACTGGATAAACATTCTCTTTCCCATCCTTCTCCTCCTTCTTTTTTTGCATTTCCGATCATACAAAAATCTCCAGACACTATATATTTTTCGCCAAAAAGTGGGGGGCCCGGGCCCCTCGGCCCCCGCTTCCACCGGCCATGTCAAATGTCTTCCTTCACTCAAATTACAAATTCGAAAAATACCACTTCCAAAAATAACATGAAATCTAACACAGACATCTATTTTTGACTTAAATCGGACCAGATGTACGTGTAAGATCGTAGAAATAGAAGGAATTATTTTAGGAACCGATGCATGCACGTAACATCGGATCTCTCACACTGTCTACCCTCGACCAGATCTAGGCCTAGCGGTTAGGCGCAGTGGGAACGGTGTGGTTTGCCAACCCGAGGTTTTGGTTGGGGTTTCAATCCCTCGCTGTGCATTTCGCTTGTGTCCTTCATTTTCTCTCCACCCAGGAGTATAAATGGCAGGGGTGTATCTAGGATTTTTTTTTTTGCGTGGGACCTTTTCAGTGGGAGACAGGAAATTCGATTACAGTGCCACCAGTTTGAAGCGGATGGCAGGCTCACTTTTAGAATTGTTGGAATTGAGATAGATTACGTCACGCAATTGGCAATGCCTTTGGACTCATTGCTGATGGTACCTCATCAATGCTTTTTCATTTATGTCATTGTGAAAAGGCCCTAGAAAAAATGTCTTTGGAAAAAATGTGGAGCTTTCAATTTAAATTGGGGGGGGAGGGGTCGTACGACCTTCCGACCCTTACCTTAGGTAACCATTTGTTACTAATGTAGCACTACGCGTGGTTGCCAGAATCAGAGATCGTATTTCGTAATCATTGTGCTATATTGGAAAACTAACTAGCTCTCCGCATCATGAAAATAGGCATGTTTATCCGCATCATGAAAATAGGCATGTTTAAGGGCAAAAATCGGCCAGCGTATTATTTTCACTATCAGAGCAGCCAAGGCAAGTAGGCCTATAATTTTATGTTGATACATGATGCAATGAAAATCAGACTTTACAGCTAGCTGGGATATATCTAATTTTAGGCTGAGTTTACATTTGTCTCAATAGTGGACCACCAAAAAGTTTAGCTTCGAATGTATTACATAAAGGGTGTGCTTTTTGGATTTTTTCTTGACCTGACCGCGCGTGACTGTTTGAAATGTACATAAATTATTTAATGTTTTGACGTAAAAGAAATCTTTTTTATTTTGTTGAAATTATTTCAATATACTTGATTAGTATTTATTCCGACATTACATTGAGTATATATATAT